CTAGAGAAATAATTAGTCATTAAACCAAAAACAAAGGTTACACAACAATTACAAAAAAACTAAATTAAAAAGTGACTATGACATTTTTTCAACTCTTAGGCAGACTATTGAAGCAGAAATTGATGAAGATCTTACATTAGAAATACAGAATCATCAATAAAAAGGGAACCTAAGAATTTTTGGAAATATATCCGGCAAAACGGATGGTTTTGACAATTTTTTCAAAAGTGTTTATGTTGCATCATCAAATCCCTTCCTAATTAACCCTGTGGAGCCCTACAACTCTCAAAATATATCCATTAACGCGATATTTCTCAGCTTGAAGTGTGCAGTACACTCAAAAAATTAAAAGATACAAAAACTGCAGGTTATGATGAAATACCTTCTTTTATATTGCATGATTGCTCACTGTGTCTATCAGTGCCCTTATATCTTATCTTCAATAAAATTTTGAAAAATAATATATGTTCGGAACAATTGAAAATAACTAAGATTTGTCCTGTCTTTAAGGCAGGTCAAAATAATAATATGACTTATCAACCTATCTCCATACTGTCCAACTTTTCGAAGGCCTTTGAAATCTGTATTCACAACAATCTCTTCCATCAAGTTAAAAACCTAATATCTCCTACTCAACATGGCTTCTTTCCACAGAGATCAACCATCACAAATCTTACAAATTTCCTACAAAAAGCTTATCTTGCTATCAATAATAGGAAACAGCTTGACGTCATATATACTGACTTTTCGAAGGCCTTCGATAGGTTGGATCATGGTTTCATTGCCCAGAAAATGTACAACATTGGGTTTCATAGGAACCTATTTATCTCATATTTAAGTGGGCGAACACAATTTGCAGAGTGCAACGTTTTTCGATCTACCAACTTCAGCGCTTCAAGTGGCACTCCTCAGGGAAGCAATCTAGCTCCTCTAATATTCGCTATATTTGTGAATGATATCACTGACACTATCTCATCTAACTGTGTACTGTTTGCTGATGATCTGAAATTTTTTACAATTATTGACACCATACAGGACTGCTCAAAAATACAAAACGACATTGTCTTCTTGGTGTATCACAAATAAACTTCCGCTAAATATTGATAAATGCCAATCTATGACTATTTCCAAGCTTCATAACGAATTGAAGTTTGCATATAGACTTGAAAATACCAATCTTTCTAGTGTAGATTACATAATTATCGACAGTAGACTAAATTTTCGTAAACATATTGACCAAATCGTTCAAGCATCTTTGAAACCACTTGGCTTTATTATTAGGTCTACGGTCTACTAAATATTACACAAGTACGGAAAGCTTGATTGCTTTGCACAACTCATTGATAAAATCAAAATTACAATATGCAGCTCTGATATGGTTTCCCAATTATGATGTACACGTCGACAGGCTCGAATATGTCCAGCGCAGATTTCTCAAGTACCTAAGCTTTAAGCAGGATGGCATCTACCCTCCACGGGGATATGACCACAAATTATTACTAGAAAAAATTAACTTTTCATCACTTAAGCAAAGTACATTTCTTGCCAGTCAACTGTTTATTTTCAAAATATGCAACAATTTAATTGATTCGGCTGAAATATTAAATTACCTCGATTTTTTGGATCCCGCAGTAAACAGCCGAACTCACCATAAATTCTATCTGGCAAACTGTCATACTAATCTTGCCAGAAATGCGCCTTTATATAGAGCCTGCTCATGGTATAATCAATTAATACCCACTATTGGTGAGTTGGATCTTTTCAATAGTACTGTAAAGTCATTTAAAACCAAAATTATACTACAGATAAAAAACGATCTCCTGAATTAAATTGCTCTCGAAGTTGTTTCAACTATTGAATCTTGTATTTTTGTGGAGTGATTGCTGATTGGCTTGGGGTAAACTTTCTGTCCTGGAGTTTTGTTGGTGGAAATTGTTGATACTACTTAACTTACATCTGTTTTTCTCGATTGTTAATTACAAACTATGGTTGGTTACTTCATGTATTTGTATTTGAGGCATAAGTCAAAACCTAGTTTTAATTTTACAATAGCATTTATTTAGTCGTTAAATTGAAATTATTATAATTGTCTTGTTATTGGGCTAATCCTTCTAGACAATAAATAAATAAATAAATAAATAAAAGAGATGCAGTCGTACTGATTCCGATGCACTTCAACACTGTCCGTTTTTCGAACCCTCAACAGATTGCTGAACTCTTTGCCACACACTTCAAGAATGATTGTAACTCTGATCACAAGGATGTTGAGATCAAAAAAGACTACTCAGTCCCCTCTGGAACATTCGATGATCTCTTCACAGTTGAGGAAATGCAAAGGAAAATTCTGGATCTCGATCTCTCAGAGAGTCCTGGACTGAATAACCTCTCCCCAGTGTTTCTTAATGGCTGTCACACATCTGTAATAGAACCTCTGAAGCATATTTTCCAATTTTCGATACTAGCATTTTTCCCAGAAGTTGGAAAATCTCAACACTTTTCCTTATCCACAAATCAGGAGATAGCACTGATGTGAATTATTATAGGGGCATCTCTCTACTATCGCACATTCCTAAAATTATGGAATCCATTCTAACAGACGATGTGTATTTATGCTTTAGTAAGTACATTGCTAACGAACAGCACAGTTTCTGAAAGGGCAAATCCACTGCTACGCTACAAATCTTGCTGTCTACCAACAGTTCGTAACAGAAGCTTTGGAATCAGGAAAACATACGGACGCGATCTTCACGGATATGTCAAAGGCCTTTGATAGTGTGTGCCATAAGTTGTTACTACAAAAACTCTCAGGTATGGGGTTCAGTGCACATTTCTTGAAATTTATAGAATTGTACTTAAAGGAAAGATGTCAAAGAGTTGGTGTGTGTGATGCAGTATCCCACGAGTTCATAGTTCCATCTGGAGTCCCTCAGGAATCGCATATTGGATCGATTCTGTTTGTTTTTTTCATAAATTACGACGAAGTTTTTCGCAGTTGTGGACGGACACTCTATCTCTCTCCAGTCGGGTTGGACAGGTCGGTCGCTTGATGCAACACATATCTGGAACTCATTTTTACTAAATGCAAATACATGATTTTTCACAAGACTATAAATTGTATACTGTCCACATACACTATTATCATCGCAAATATGGAAACAGTCGACACCTTCAGAGTCCTAGGAGTCATTTTTGAAAAAGATCTGTCAGTCATAACAAATTCTAGACTTCTAGGTTTCATCAAACGAAAAACTAGAGACATATAATATGATACTGAGTCCATTATCTGTCTATATTCCAGTCTCATTCCATCCACACTTGAAAACTGCAGCCCAATTTGGACTCCAATTTATGTATGCCACATAAGAAGGATAGGACTGATAGGAGTGCAAAATAAATTTGCCGAATACCTGCTCTATAAACTGAGATTTTCTTACCAGAACTTTCAGTATGAGACTCGTCTACCTTTCTGCGGTATACTCCCTTGAGAATTGACGCAAAAATGCCCACCTCATTTTTCTATACTAACAGAATTCTGCAGAACATTATAAACTTGACAGAAATTGATTTTCTAATTCCTGGAAGATGAACCCGACAACTATGGTTTAAATTACATTATGGCGTGTCTAGTCACTAATTAGAATCAGGACTTTTTCCATATACTGGGTGCCCACGGGATCACTTTCCGGCTGCCATTTTTTTATTTGCCTATCGATATCAACGAAACTTGGTAGGGTTGATATTCTAACCAAACGCTATTTTTATGCATTATTGACAAGTTTTGTTGACTTCCGGTTTCACCGGAAATGACCGGAACTTTTAATTTTTAAATGGCACACCCTGTAGATTTTCTGTTTTTCGGATTCTACAGATCGTTTTACGTCCTAATGCACCACTTTTGAATCAAGTTTTGTCCAAATTTTGTTTTTAAATTAAATTTCAATTTTTTAACTAGAGTGCCATGATCATCCTAAAATGACTCTACATACTTTACTTAATTTCAGAAAAATACAAACTTAATTTTATCTTTGTAAACTTTTTTGATAGAGGGCTGTAAACTTCATTATTTTAGTATTTTTGCCCTAGCTCAAAAACTAGAATAGGAACATATCACTTTCATAACATTACTAAATGCATTATTTTGAAGCGAATCCAACGATATAATACACTACGACATTTTTCCTAATTTTCGTTCAAATATTTTTGTTTATTTTTGGTTATTTTTTTTTCTACTTAAAATTTAATTTGAAAACGAAATTTGAACAAATTTCGATTTAAAAGTGGTACATTAGGACGCAAAACGATCTGTAGAATCCAAAAAACAAAAAATATACAGGGTGTGCCATTTGGAAATCGAAAGTTTCGGTAATTTCCGGTGAAACCGGAAGTCAGGAAAACTTGTCATGAATGCACAAAAATGGCATTTTGTTAGAATATCAAGCCTACCAAGTTTCGTTGATATCAATGAACAAATAAAAAAATGGCAGCCGGAAAGTGATCTCGTGGGCACCCGGTAGATTTTTTCCATACAGCTCTGCATGTAATAAAAAGAGAAATCAGTACATCATTACAGAGGCTGTATTATTTATATTTTTAATAAGTTGTAAATTTGCATATCATTATTTAGGTTTATTTCTTCATTGTACCATTTAGAAATTTGTTCTTTAGAATGCACTTAAACATAAATAAATAGAACCCAAAATCGAGAAAATAGTATAAAACTCACGTTGCAGAAGGCTATTCTCGCACACATTCTATAGAAGTTTATAGAATTTTCGAGAAAATCTATAATTTCGAGGCAATTTCGTAACAGTATTAAACAGCAGATTATGCTTTTTCAATAAATGTGACCTGACTTGAAAAAAAAACAGTTCTATACCTGAATATTCCATTGATACTGGAAATGAACCTAACTACACCAACATCAAAAGTATCATATTTTAGCTCCTGGAAAATCAATCCACAGTAAAAAGAAAATATATTCTTAACTTTTCCTATTTCAGAATAAAAAAGAGACTGAGCTATGGCTAGGCGTAACAGCTCTGGGACTGAATATCTATGAAAAAGAAAACAAGCTACAACCAAAAACCACGTTTACATGGAGCGAAATAAGACACATAAGTTTTGACGATAAAAAATTTATAATTAAGCCTGTAGATAAGAATTCTCCAAATTTTGTATTTTTTAGTCACAAAGTTAGAATGAACAAATTGGTAAGAACTTCAACTTAATAAAAAGTATTTTGTATGCTAAAAATTTTGGTGATAGATTTTAGATTTATGTATGGGCAACCATGACCTGTTTATGAGAAGGAGAAAACCTGACTCTATGGAATTGCAACAGATGAAGGCGGCAGCCAAAGAGGAGAAACAACGCAGACAAGTTCAAAGGAATAGGTAACATTTGTTTGAATAATTATTATTTCTCTTTTATTATGTATATTTTTTTCAGGTTAGCAAGAGAAAAGCAATTAAGAGAAGAAGCAGAAAGAGATAGAGCCAATATGGAACAAAGATTGTTACAGTACCAAGAAGAAATGCGTTTAGCAAATGAAGCCCTGGTAATTTTTATGTTTTATAATGAAAACTTTTCTGTATTTTTGATGTTTTTCAGAGAAGATCTGAAGAATCTGCTGATCTTTTAGCAGAAAAAAGTAGAGTAGCTGAAGAAGAATCAAATTTATTAAGCCAAAAAGCTGCAGAAGCTGAACAAGAAATCACTAGGTTAAGGTTAACTGCAATGAGAAAAGATGAAGAGAAGGTACTTTTGTTTTCAAATTTCAAATTATTTGTCTATGTTAATGAAATTAATAGGTTTCTCTGGAAAGGAAAACTCGAGAAGCTGAATTATTAACAGCACGTTTAGTAGAAGAATCTGAAAGACGAGCGGCTGAAGCTAACAAACTTAAAGAGGAACTTTTAAAAGCTCGCGCAGCTGAAAAACAAGCAAAAGAAAAGCTGTTGGATTTTTTAAGTCGCAGTACGTATTCTGGATCTACGCCTACATCACCTATTTCAGTAAGAACTACTTATTACATTGTTTAGGTTTTTTTTTTTAAATAAACTATTGCAGTCTGTTACTACATTATATTCCGCACCTTTATCACCAAACAACGTCCACTCTGAACTGTCTTTATTGGATAGCGAGTCAAGTACATCACCAGATTTTAATTTGAATATTAATATGAATTTAAATTCGTATGATCTCATTGCTCACGGTGATGCGGATCAGTTGTCTTTGGAAATAGAGAAAGAGAGGTAAGATTTTTTTTTCTTTATAAAGGGGTAGATTATTTGAGGCGAACTTTCACAAATAATTAAAGTCCATGTTTCTTTTACAGGGTTGAGTATCTGGAAAAATCAAAACACCTTCAAAACCAGCTCAGAGATCTTCGTACCGAAATAGCAGTACTCAAAGTGACAGACAAGGCAAATGATTATGATCAGTTGCATGACGAACAAATCAAACTGGGCGAGAACAAATATTCAACCCTGAAGAAAAGCAAAAGTGGTAGTACCAAGAGTAGGGTGGCGTTTTTCGAAGAATTGTGAATATAAAATTTATATTCCAGGTAAAAAAACTATATTATATTGTAAATATTTTATCAATTTTTTTTTGTATTATGACTGAAGTAATTATTTCCAAAAAAAAAAAACATAAATCATATTAGGCCTTAGGTTATTTTTTTGCTCTCAACGTGCCTTATGTAAGTCTAAACATAGTAGTGTCTTCAAATGCTCCAAAGGTTTTCAATTGCAACTTAATTAGGATCCTTTATTATCTTTGATTTTTTTACTTAACAAAAATTATTATTTATGTGATCTTTTTACGGATAGTTATACATATGTTTTGGAAAATATTGGTTCGATTTAAACCTCTTTAAAAACCATAAACTGTATTTTTGTGTGCCTTAAGCTTTGGACAACAATGTATATGTGTTTTTGAGCGGTTTTGGGTGAGGTCCCAATAATGACTAATTATTAAACAAGTGCACTTGTTAAATTTAGTGTTTTAAAAATGACATAGTTTAATAAAAGTTAAAAATAGATTGCTACAAAAAAAGGAATAATAAATATTTTTAAAGAAAGTTTAATTAATTTTATTCAAATTCATCATCATCAGACAAGCTTACTACAAATTTTGGTTAAGGATGTTCTAAAACTATGTTGTATCAAGTTTTGTTGTTCTCAAGGCCTCAAAATATGAAAATTTTCCGGTTTGGTTCATTAAATTTTGAAAATTTGTTTTGATCACCCTGTATCCTATTGGAACAAAAATTCGTACATTGGAATTTTAGACTATTCTAAACAAGAATCTGCTATCAGATTTTTTCTAAAAAAAATCCCTAATAGTACTTATTGAAATTTGAGCCTATAAATGTGGACACCCTGTAAACCAGTGCAGCCGTAGAAATAAAATTATGAGCCTAATAAGTGACAAATTCGAATAGCTACAAGACAAAAAAAAAATGAATTGAATCGGTTGAAAAATAAAAATTTTAGAAGGGTGGTCAGTCCTTAAGCGGGACACACTGTATGTCACATATGGAAATGGAGTAATTGTGACCATTAATATCATGTCTTTAAATATTGTTTGCAGAAGTTTAGATAAGAGTTAACCGGTACTTGCAACTTTCTTGGATCTTGCTAAAGCCTTTTATACGGTAAATCATGATATACTATAGGAGAAATTGAATAACTATGGTATAAGGGAAGTGGCTTTGAAGTTGTTTGGAAGGTATATTGTCAGACAGAAAATAGACTGTTAAATTGTCAAATTACTGCAGTCAGCCTGTGACTGTTACACACGGAGTTCCCCAAAGCACAATTCTTGGGCCTTTATTGTTTTTATTGTATATCAATTGCCCTCGGAAACTATTGTATCCTATGCTGATGATACTGTGATATTATGTGGTGACGATAAAAATAAATAATCCCCAAATAAAAAGAGTAGAGAGTTGTAAGTACTTAGGTATTTATATTGATTATAGAGTAAGATGCACATTGAATATGTTGTCAATAGGACTAAATATTTTTTCTACTTGCGTGCGCAAAGTAATCACTTTGCGCACTCATTTGCGTGCGCAAAGTTGAACTTTGCGCACGGAAACTCTTTGCGCACTATTTTTTGTTACGCATAATTACCATAGTTATACTTGATTTTTCAATGTTTTGATGGTTTCTGAATAAACTAATATTCATAATGAAGGGTTTTAGTTGATATTAGCGCTTAGTTAACATGATGTTTCCTATCAAAGGTGTCCAAATTGGACCAGCCTGTACTGCTAGGAATTTGTACAATTTTTGATATTTGAGAGACTCTCATGAAAATATTCTAGCTGGTATTCTAGAAATTCCAGAAGATGTTAAAAGCTTTTTGGGATTTTAATTTAAGACATTCTAAGGAATTCCAATAGATTTTAAACGATTTTTGAAGATTTTGATTTGATTGATTTTTCTAATATTGTAATAATTCAAAGTCTACTTTTTTAAGATATTCGTAGAAAAAATATTGTTCCTAACACTTGCGCAAAGTGTCTTTCCCGCACTCAAAGCTTATCCGAACTCCGCTTCGCGTCGTTCGTCTAACTGCTTTTTCGTGCGGGAAAGTATCACTTTGCGCACTTGTTAGGAAAATAACTATATTATTTTTATATTCACAAAGTTAGCTAGGCTAATGCATCCAAAATCCCTGCTAAGTGTCTATTATGCTTTTTTTCATAGCATATGTAACTATGGAATTATAGCCTGGGGAGGCGCATATAACAACGTCAAATGCACCTTGGAATCTCTCCAAAAAAGAATACCAAAAAAAGTCCTTAAGGGTGATATTTAGTCTCCCTGTTCCACTGAAATTAGAACAGTCTTTCATTTTTGAGTCTCTTATTTCATTACGAGGATCTAAAAAGGAACTTTAGGCAATCAAATAGCATAACAAGAAACAAAACCATCAATTTACCAAAGATAAATCGAACTTTATTTACTAAAAGTAGCTACTTAACTGCAATCAAGACTTTCAATAAACTTCTTAAATAAATACAAAACCTTAGAGCACAATAAAGAAACAGTCAAACGAAAATTAACAAAATGGGTAGGGTATAATGTCGCAAGTGTATTGTTATTATAGGAAACACCTTTTACCAATTTCTAACAGATAAGTTTATTGATTTTTATTAAATAATATTCCCTGCATGAATATCATTTTGTATGCATTATTTTGGCACATTATGTGTCTATAAGGACAACTTTTGATTGCATTGTGGGTTACATTACAGGCAGAGTAGACTGAGGAAAAATAACCTACAGATGGATTGGCAGCATCAGGACCCATGAAAGCACTGTTATTATCAAGAGTGAGTAGATTAGGTATCTCAGGCGCATTCCGTTTAGAATTACAGGAATTCTAAAATGGTTTCGAATTAGTAGAAAGGTAATTTTCAGTGTTTTGGACAAAACTCTTATAACATTCCCAGGAAATTCCCGGACTAAACCACCTAGGAAACTTTGCACTGGGTACCTTTTTGACTGGAACAAATAGATCAAAGCAATCATACACAATATCATAAATGTGATTAAAATGGAATCTAGGTCCATATTGGATAACAGATCATCCCAGCAAGAAGCACTCAAGTAATTGTTTATTGATACAAGGTCTGTAGATTTAAAATCATTGTAATAGCAATCGGCTCTACCACCAACAGATGTGTAACATGATTGCGAGATAGGCAGGTTAAAGCAAAGGGGTGGATGATGATTATCAATGCTAACCAGAGGAACACAATAATTAGCTCTAAGCGTTTTGTGGGACAGAACTACATCGAGAAAAACTCCATTTGCATTATGAATAAAATTATTCTGGAAAAGGGTATGAAATGCACAAAGATCTGAGGTTGTAGCAATTTTCTGAATTACTTGAGGTGAGACGTCATCATCATCAGAAGGAAGAGCCACTGCGCATATGTCCTCGTTAAACTTGCTCGAGAGGTGCAGTAGTTGAAAGAACTGCAGGGGACTGACCTATGTGTGGCCAACAAAACTCCACCCAAACACTTCTTGTTTATTTTATTCTATTTTATATAGTATGCTTGTATAGTTTATATTCTTAGCACTAAGTTTGGATTTGTCTACAACAATTGTTTTTTTGACAATAAAGCATATTTGATTGATTTGATTGATTGATTGATTGTTGCTTGTTTCACCCGAGCGATCCTTCCTAAAGATGAAATAGTCCCCCAAGCCCAGGTCCACGTCCGAGATGTCATCAGACAAGTTGTTTTCCGTTAATATTATAGCCTGGTAGTTATGCGAGGCCGCGTTACATGTGAGAGTAGTGAGCTTTGTTCGCAAGCCACGCACATTCTGGTAATAAATGTTGACTTTAAAAAATCGGTTAGGGCGCTGGTACGTTAAACAGCATAATATCGTTGGATCTGTTTCGACGCTCTTGATGCTCATTCCACATCTCGTTTTGATTAGTTGGCTTTATGAGTTGACTTCTCATGGGAGACTAGTGTGTGCTGAGGGTCTTGTCCAATTCAGCCACATTGGAATTTATTGGGTTGACAGCTGTGTTCAATTCTTCGACATGAGCATCAAGGTTTTGGAGGTCATGAACTGCTTCTGTCAAACCGGAGACATCTTGCTTCAGGTCGTCTACTTCCGTTGCTAGTTGGTTAACTCTGCTAGTAAGGTGTCGAGTAAATTCAGTGTTTCTTGTTCCAATTTGATAAAGATCCTTCACAATTTTTTGTTGGGTACAACCAGTACAAATTAATAATCTTGCAGAGAAGACAAGCAACACATGTTAGTTTGCTTAAGGTCGAAGATCTTCTCTTCTTCAAGTGCCTATCCGTTCCGGATGTTGGCTAACAACATGGCTATTCTTACTTTGTTGATGGTGATTCGGAAAAGTTCTACTGTTGATTTGTCAAACCACGTTCTAAGATTTGCTAGCCAAGATATTCTCCTTCGGCCAAGTGCTCTCCTGCTAATAATTTTGCCTTGTAGGATTTCCTGTAGCAGCCCGTATCTATTTGGGTTCCTCATTATGTGGCCGAAATACTGATGTTTCCGACATTTTATGGTATCTAACAGTTCTAGTTCTTTATTCATCCGACGCATTACTTCTATGTTGGTAATTTTGTATGTCCAAGATATTTTCAGCATTCTCCTGTACAACCAGAGTTCGAACGCTTCAATTTTCCTGGCAGTCTCTTTAGTGAGTGGCCAAGTTTCTACGCCATACAGAAGGACCGAGAAAACATACCAACGCAAGAGTCTCAGCTTCATGTCCAAGGATAGATTATGGCTTTTGAAAAGCGAGCTCATTTTAATAAACACAGAGCGGGCCTTTTGGATGCGACATCGTATTTCTTGAGAGTTGTCCCATCTCTCGTTAATGATTGTCCCCAATTATGTATACTGCCTTACTCTTTGTATTCTACTGTGATTGATGTATAAACTGTCTTCCGCGATGTTTCTTTTACTAGTTTTACTTACTATGAGGAGTTTGGTTTTGTTATGTTCATTTCTAACCCGTACTGTGAGCTAATTTTGGTCACCCTATCCATCAAACTTTGTAATCCTTGAAGACTATCTGCAAACATGATGGTGTCATTTGCATATCTTATGTTATTAAGTTTCGTACCGTTTAAGTGATTCCTTCCTCAATGTTGTCTAGTGCTTCTCGAAAAATGTATTTTGAGTACACGTTAAATAAGATGGGCGACAAAACACAGCCTTGCCTCACTCCTCGTAGTATATTTATTTGTTCTGTGTGACTGCCATCAATTCTCAAAACTGCCCGTCTGGTTCCAATATCTATATACAGGGTGTCCCAAAAAGATACCGACAAACTTTGAGGGGTAGTAGGGGACATCAAAACAAGCATTTTTGTTTATATAAACATATGCCCGCAAATGAGCCATTTGGGCTGTAGAGTAAAAAAACTGTTTGGTACCTAGTTTTATTTTTCGCAATAATTAAATTACTGTTTACTTATTAATTTTGCCTTATTAACAAATAAATTATGGTTCACAATAATTGTTCAACTCGCGAACTCTTTGGAATATTCCGGGAATAGCTTCTACATGGGTATAACTCGCCAGTATCCTTGCTAACAGATCTTCCTCATTACGAATAGGTGTTTCGTAGACTAAAATTTTCAGTCAATGACCCGACGGTGTAATCTTTGCATTGAAGTAAATGGTCAACATTTTGAAGAATTATTGTAAACCATAATTTATTAGATAATGAAGCAAAATTAATAAGTAAACAGTGATTTAATTATTGCGAAGAATAAAAGTATCAAACAGTTTTTTTGCTCTACAGCCCAAATGGCTCATTTGCGGGCATATGTTTATATAAACAAAAATGCTTGTTTTGATGTCCCCTACTACCCCTTAAAGTTTGTCGGTATCTTTTTGGGACACCCTGTATATAAAAGTTAATGCCACTTTTCGTTGTAATTTTATAACTCAAGAACGGGCTCACCTAGCCAAACCAAATGTTTAGGCTTTTTTCGGACTATTTATTAGATGGTTTATGTGAAGTTTGCACAAAATCGGTCGAGCGGTTCTTCATTTATCACATTTTTTGTAATAAATAAATTATTCAATAAATGGAGAATCATTTTGTTAATGGGGATTTTGCTGTCTAATTGAAACTTTTTTCAGCGTTGACAGTACCAGCATGTTGTTATGTCATTAATGTGGTCATTTCATTACTTATTTTATTTATTTATGGAAAAAAATTACTAAACCCGCATACTGCGCCATCTCTGATACCTGGAACGAAGCTCGGCATTGCAGATACAGTAGAACAATGCTGCTCAGGAACTGGAGCTATTTCGAACAGAACTATTCCACTATTCCGATCAGATAGAGTGATGCAGAAAGAGTAGATCAGATAGAGTAGTGCAGATAGAGTAGAACAGATGGAGTAGTGCAGTGCATGCAGTGCAGATAGAGTGAAACAGGGCTGCGCTGGAGATTTTTTTTGTTTTCTTTACATTCTTTGGACATTCCTGTGCCTGAGTTTATTTATTTGGTGGTACCCTTTACAAGAATAATGCCCACAAGCTGCCTAAAAAAGGATGATGTGAAATTTTAATTTTAGGTGACTTCTGATCCAGAGAGTAAACATTATATTTCTTCAACCAAAGCCAAATTCACCATCGAAAAAAACTGAATTTAATTCAGCTAATAGATACGTAACACAACATTTAATAGGTACCTATATTTAATAATTCAGAGGCGGTACGAAGTACGCCGGGTCAGCTAGTAAGTTTATAATTATGTTAAATCTTTTTGATTCATTCCTATTTGCTTCGGTATGTCGACCATTTTATCGTGTTGGACTTGGTCAAATGCTTTTTGATAATCGATTAAGCAATATACATCACAGCTGACATCCCTACATCTCTGAAACACCCAATAGAGCCTCTCTTGTACCGACGGCGTTCACAAACCCACATTGGGTTCGGTGAAATATGTTCTTCACAAAGTCTATATCATTATATTCTTTTGTGTATTATCTTGAGAAACAGCTTTAAGAGATGACTCATCAAACTTATTGTTCTAAAATCACCGCAGGTTTTGGTACTTGCTTTTTTCGGCAGTGTGATAAATTCTGACCTTAACCAATCCGCTGGAATTTCTCCTGTTAAGTAGATGTTGTTGAATATTCTGGTCAGCCATTTGATTTTATCCTCGTTCAGTAACTTTAGGAATTCAGTCTGTATTTGATCCAGACCAGCTGCTTTCCGTGGCTTCATTTCCGAAATGGCGGCTCTCACCTCGTCCACAAGAATTTCTGGTCCCTCTCCTACAGTTGGTTTTTGTTCTTTGCGTAAATCATGGAATAGATTCTCTAGATATGTTTTCCAGGCCTCCTTCTTTTTCCCGGCGTCAATGATGATTTCTCCTGCTTCGTTGACCAAAGGTTTACAGTTGTTTTTGTGGCCTTTCCTTGTTATTTCTCGGACTTTCCTGTGAACATTGAAGTCATCGTGCATGTTTTGATGGTGTTCGATCTCGCGACATTTTTCTTGTAGTTATTTTTCTTTCGCTTTTCTTATTTCCTGTTTTATAATTCATTGTATACGTTCATATTCCGTTGAATTTCCTTTATCTTGTCTTCTTTCTTCCATTAAGTTTAATATTTCTGTCGTCATCCAAGATTTTCTCTTTATTTTGTCCGGTTTCAATATTTCCTTCTTTACTACTTCTACTGCTTGCTTTAATTTGTTGAGTTCCATATCGACGTTGTTGTTTTCATTTGGTTGAATGTTGTCGTTGAGCATTATTGCTGCTGCTTCCCCTATTGCTGGGGTTTTGAGTCTCTGAAGGTCATAGTTTGGAGTCATCTTAGTGTTGACCTTCTTCATTTTCACCTTAAATACACCAACCAAGGGACAGTGATCTGATCCAATGTCAGCTCCTGGATATGTTTTGAGGGATAGGCAGCTATTTCTAAACCTCTTATTGACTAACATAAAGTCGATTTGGTTTCTGACTATTCTTCCCGGTTCATCCATAGGTGCTTTCCACGTATATGGCGGCAGTTTGAACCAAGTGTTCATTACTACGAGTTCATTTGTTACTGCAAAAACTTCAAGCGTGTCCCCTCTTTTGTTTCTTTCACCTAGTCCATGTGATCCTATAACGTCTGATGTACCTTCTCCCACTTTTGAGTAAAAATCGCCCATTACAATTGTGATATCAATTTTCTTCAGTTCTTTTAGTATATTATTGACTGTTGTGTACATATTTTTCACCTCTTCATCTTCTTTATCCAGCGTAGGGGCGTATATTTGTATGATGTTCATGTCAACCGGACTCGCTCTTATTTGGATGAGTGCTATTCTTTCTGATACGGGTATAAAGGCTTTCACACACCTACCTATTTTCTTGTTCAAGACAAAACCCCACACCGTGTTCATGTCTTTCATTCGTAGTGCCTGAAAAGAGAACTCTATAATCGTCGATGTTTATATCACCAGTGTCTGGCCATCTCATTTCACTTATTCCAAGGATATCTATCTATCCTTATTCTTTTCATTTCCTTGATTGTATTGTAAATTTTACCGTGCTGGCTCATTGTTTCTACATTCCAGGTTGCTATTCTTATTTCCTCTCTGGTATTGATCGCTCTAACGTGTCTGCTTGTAACTGTCCCTCTCGGAGATCCGATTGAGGGACTTACTCGGGATGTTGATTTAGCTGCAAGCATAGCCATTTTGATTCTACTAGGACATATCCGTTTTGGATCTTTAATGAGGTAGGTGTCCAAAGTTCTTCCTCATCCTTATGCCGTTGACAGTTCTACTGTTCATCCGCCTTTGGAGCTGGTTTCCCAACTCGAGGACAAAAGAGTGCCCTTCCCTTCTCGACTCTTCCACCCGAAGCTGTTGGTCGACAAGGGTTTTGAAGTTATACCGCCTCGACTCGGTCGCCATAGCCTCGTTTGTTATCTAGCAGGATGTACCACCTGCAGGTGAGGTTGACATTTGGGTCGGTGTTTCTTTGAGCACCGAAACCCCTTACAGGTCGAAGATATATACCTACTATCTTTAGGAACATTTCTCCTGGATGGCCTGTATTAGCGTGGGCCTGTATATGCCTGCATAATTCCTGAAGAGAGGAGAGGAGTTCTTGTCTTGACGGCAGAGTCTTTGGATTTCACGTGTCTATACCCAACGTGCTTTGCATCAAAATCCAGACCTGAGATCTTAAGCTCTCTACATGCCTCAATTACGCACAATGTATGAGTGGTAATCCATAGCTGTTTAGGTAGAGTGCTGCGTTTAGGTTGAGTTGTTTGAACAACTTGCGTTAGATCATTTTTAAATGTTAAATTACATATTATTAGAAGGTGATTAAGCCGAGGTACTCCGAAAAAGCTGAGAACATTTTGACCGAAAAGAAACAGGGTCAACTATCTTTGTTGAAAGATTCCGCTTAAAACGTGGACATTTCTTCAGCTGAAGCTGAAGCTCACAAAGAAGGAGTTGATGGTCTCATCTACAATCGGAACCTGGTAGTCTTTTACAGAGACTAATATAGATGAGCTCCATCGTGTTTTACCCAAAATGTAATCGATGTCATTGCGATATTATCCGCCTGGTGAGTTCCAGGTTTCCAGACGTTGAGGATGTTGTGCAAACAAGGTGTTGGCAATGAGAAGCTGTGGTCAACACAAAATTGTAGGAGACGTTGGCCCCTTTCGTTTCTGGGCACCAAGACCGATTTTACCAATATGTGCCCTAAGATGTTCATCTTCTACTGTTTAACCAACTTTAAGCGTTAAAATCTCCAAGGACAACTATCATCTCGCGATTTGATAGAGATTCAAGTGTAAGATAAAAAAATAGGATTGTGAATTTAAAATGTTTATTTATAAAAAAGTATGCAGATAAGTACAAATAAGGGTAAGTACAGTGTTAGTAGAGTATCACTAAAAATGCATATTTTTTCACCAACCATAGTTTGGAATTTGTATTAGATATGCTCCAATGAATCACCGTTATTTGTGAATATCGTGATGAACATTGGAACAGACAAATATGCACTTTATGAGTTAGTAAAATGTTATCAACCAGAATATAAAAAAAAGGCTAACAAGAAAACATAATAGAATTTCAAATTATAAATATTTTTGGATTCGTTTGACAAAAAAAAAAATATTCACACAGCCCAAATTTTCAATTTACTTGTATTATTTACAGAAAGTTTCAGATTTTTTAGTTTTGTACTATTTAGGGCCAAATTATGAATGTGATGTTAACTGATGGTATTTTGCTAAGGCAAATATTCAATTGATATCCAGAGTTTGAAGGTTGACTTGCTAATATTTTAATGGCCTTGAAACTTCTTAATTGAATAAAGTTTATAATATCCAGACTAGAATTTTGCATATATTAAAATATACTTAACATCTATTACGTATACAGAAACAATAAAACAAAAATACATAATTTTTATAAGAAATTAATTTGTTAAAGATATAAAGTAGGTAAGAAATCTTAGAACAATCATATTATGAATAATATGGCATAATTTTTTTTTTTTGAGGAAATAAATTCCATACGAAACTGAACTCTAATAAACAAAAAATGGCATAAGTTTTCAATACTTTGGCTAAACTCATATTCATGAGTCTGGGTTTCTTCAACAATAGTTACATTTTAGTCAATAAGTTGACACAGGTGAATAAACTTGACCAAACTTGAAGAAACCAATTAAAATTTAATTTAAAATGGTGTTTGTTCAAAGTCAAACAAACTATTCCTAATCGATGCTCATCAAATCTGCCACTTTTTGTAACGGATCTTTTTGATGATGACTTTCATATTCAACAACCAAACCTTCGTCGTTTGGTTTTAGGGAATCGCTGTCAATGTGTAGTTTCACTTCGGTAGGTGTCGCTATCATTGAACCATGAGGTCCTCTGACAAGCTGCGTCACATCTAGACCTAAAGAAAAAAACAACATCATAGTGTCATTCATTAGAGAATTTTCTTAAGAGACACTTGAATTATTGAAACGATTTTTTTTTTGCAGGAATTAAAATAATATTTCTCACTATTCTTTCTAGCCCATTTCCAGCTTTATTGGAAAAATTTGGGGTCTGAATAGTGACAGTAAATATATTCTGTATATCAAGAAATGGGAAAGATAGAGATAAGAAAATTACACCAAGAGTTGATAAAGTGAAAAGTGGTTCTCATCACTCACCAATGTGTTGTTCTTCTCCTAAGTAATGATGATGTTTCCCCGTTTCCTCTCCACTTTGTCCGTGATGATGGTGAGAATGGTGGTGATGATGAGGAGGCTGAACTTCTAAGTCTGGAGTTTTTGTATCGGGATCGACTACGTCATTCGGATGATGCGAAATTCCCATTCCAATGTGAGCGCCTTTTTGATGACTAGCCGCTCCTTCTACCCCGAAAGTTTTCGGTAAACCCTCCAAGTCTTTCACGATTTTTTCGTTTTTCTTGTCGATGTTTATAAGATCAGCCAATTCAGAATTCTGTAATAATAACAAGTTATGTATGTGGGAGAAAAATACCTACTATTGTTTGCGTTACCTTATGATCGCCGCTTTCACTTTGATACGTTTCAAACCACTTTTTCAGTTTATTTTTCAATTTAATATCATTTTCAAATGTTTTATGTGAGTTTTGGGCTTCAAATAAATCCGGATGAATATTATCTTCATTCGTCTTGAAATTTTCCTGATCTACATACATATTCAATGGCAACTCCATAGTGTTAGTGTCATTTATAGCACAATCTTCTAAGCGGATTTTATTGCAACTTTGACAAGAACAATTCATAATGACTTCTATACGTTTTTGAAGAATTTTGACTCCTTCTACGTTGGATTCTTCTGCTTTCAAATTTACCTAAAAACAATATGTTAATTACATATTTATTAATGGCATTAGTTTACATGGTAGCATTTTATTTCTGAGGGTTGACAGCTATCGCAGTAAGGTCCAATCAATTCTCCAGGTTCTGCTGGTTCACTTTTGGGTATGCTGTAGCTAAAGCACGCTCCAACACAAACATTATTTTGGATGGTCACTGGTTCGTAGCCTGACGAAGCTACCACTTGTTGTATGGGCGTGGTTTGGCACCAAGAGTGTTTTTCTGGATAGAGGACTATATTGTGAACCTGGGGATTATTTTGATTAATTTCTAAGTATTAGATTTGTGGAATTTTGCTTACTTTGTGCTCTTGTTCACAGTAGATTTTATTGAAGAGTACTGATAAGGGTAGGAGAGAGTAAAGTATGGAAACCCTGGAAAGAAAGCAATGTTGAATTAGTTTTCACATACAGAAGGCATGAAGTAAGTGAAGGAAGTATACATTAATTCATTTCAAATAAATTTGGCAACTTGAAATTATGTTTTACACATACAGATGATAGATACCATTTGATAACTGAAAATGGTGAAGCAAGATATATGCCTATCTTGTCTAAATTTATAGCATTGTCTGTTAGTCAAAAATAATGTCTACGTTTAAAAAAATATTCTCACATCAGGGGATCTGCCAATGACACAAAATTATTAATCAACTTATTTTTGAAGGAAAACCAGAATGAACACGTACTTTATTTAATTTGCATAAATTAGCATTATAATTAAGTAGTCTTGAATTTATTAAATAAACATATTTGCCTATTTAATCGCTTGATTAAACACTTATTTCTCTTTGTGCCGGGTTCCAATAAAAAGGCGTGTTCTCTTGAAATTTTGCGCAAATAGGTACCTATATCAAATTGATTCAAAAATTATTAGTTAGACGAGAATCCAAAAACCTTTAAAACATGGTACAACTCGACCCATCTTCCCTATATAAAAAAGATGGGTGAAAGTCACCCCACCTAGAGGGTTCACCCTAGCAATACCGATGGGGTCAAAAAAATTTCCTTCTTGAATAGAAAAATGACATGTCCGAGCGATTTTTTTTTTAATAAACCTTGAAATACTCTAAAACGCCTCTGTTTCGATGTTCGTGAAACACCCTGTAAACGTATTTGAAATAGAAATTGAGGGTCTTTGTGAACTCGTCAAAAAATCTTGAAGAGTTGAGGGGTGAAGAGTGTTTATGAAATGAAATTAAAAATGTTGTAAACTCCTCAACTCTTCCAGCTCGTTATTCTTCAACCCTTCACTCTTCAACTCTTCAAAACGTTTATGAAGTGAAATGTAACATTATGTCGTGCCTCACTCCTCAACTATTTAGTTTTATGAAACAGGCCCCAGAAATTTGTAGCTTTCTGTCCCTGGGTTTGTTTTCAGCTAAAAATTCAACTCCTCCTTCATTGCTTTTTCCCGCAGATTCCAATCTGTTTTTGAATAAATCATTTCCATTTTTATGATTTAAACCATCACTGGCTTAAAATGAATTACCCATCCATCATCATTTTATTTTGATGCTGTTCTGATCTTGATACTCCAAGCTCTGGATCATTTCCTCCAAGTCCTACTGTTTCTATTGGTTTCTTTATTTGTTGGTGATAGGGAAATCTTAATTTTGACATTGTTTTCTGGCTCAATATTGTTTTTTTTTTTTTAGAAATTGTAAATTATTCAAGAAAACATTATTTTTTTTACTATATTTACTGGATTTTCTAAATCAAATCAATGTCTAACAAAATCCAAATGCCTTGCGAGGCATTCCTAATGCAACTTCCAGCCTCCAAAAATAACAACTGAGAGTTTCTTACTGGAATTCTGATTATCTTGCCTCCTCTGGGGGATGCAATATTTTCACAAAGAGCTTTGCTTGAAATATTCTCGCTTTCAGAGATTGAAAATAAGTTACTCTAACAACTTTAAGGGCAAGAATTGGAAGGAGGAAGGAGCTGAACTCTTTACTAGTTATAAACTCACGGGGCAAATTCAACTAGTTAGGGAGCAAACATGGGCGCCGGCAGTTGCCCCCCCCCCCCTGAAAAATTATACTTGAAAATTAGTTAGATTCTAGATTTCAACATAATTTGAGCTGGCCCTATGAAAAAATATTGTAGATAAGAATCATAATAATAATTTCAACTTTAAAACAATATTGAGAAGAGGTGTTATGGACTAGGTTATGAATCTAACACAACTACTTTTGGTGATTTGACAAATCGAATTTTATTAAACACAATAACATAAAAATCACACGAAATTTAACACTACTTTACACTCCGAACTACTCCAAATAAAGCTTATACGGCACGAATGGCACGATTATTTTCGAACGTGGTTATTTAGTTCCTGACTTCACAGTTTACTGCACTTATACGTCAATCAGAACTGATCCTTACGCGGTGCGCACCGGGGCTTTTATAGTTATGTGCACAGATTTTTTTCCCTCCTGACATTCAGGTATCCAATCAAAACGAGCGTTCTTTTCACCTGATGTAAAGGCTTCGCAATCTTCCCAAAATCCTTGACAAACCGGCGGTAGTAACTGGAAAGTCCCAGGAATCTTCTAACTTCATGTTTATTCTTTGATCTGGGCCAATCTCGCACAGCTTGGACTTTGTCTGGATCTGTCTCTATTCCTTTTGATGAGACGACATGGCCGAGGAAGTTCACTTTTTCCTGGAATAGGACACGCTTCTTGGGATTTAATTGCAGATTGGCATTTCGAATCCTGGCAAAAACTTCCTTCAAATTCGACAGGTGTTCGTCGAAATCTTTGCCAATCACCATGACATCATCTATACCATGCACGTTTCCCAAGTCAGTCCTCGCAAAAAAGACCGGTCGCCGGGGAGACTGATGACCCTTCAAATGTTCAGGCAAACCTGAGATATTCTTCAATCATGTACTATCAATTTCTGTGAGAACAGAGTAGACTTTGTACAAGAAGGCTCAATTTCCTTCCATTTTTCTACCAATTTCAAATATGCCGCTTCTTTCTTGTCACGGTCGTGAAAGTTTTTCGATTTGACTTGCAAGAGACACGACTCGCTATGATAAATCACGATAAAGGACTCCGCACACTTCTTATGGGATTTTGGGATTCTGTCAATTTTTCTGAATATTTGATATGATGCTCCTCTCAACATTCTGATTAAAAGTGTTCATAGCCACAACTTGATCCTATGACTAGTTTTCGAGATACAGGAAGTTTAATGTCCAAGAAATGCACACTATTCCATGCAACATGGCGAAACAAGCTCACTACTCACTACTGAACTATTTGAACTGACGCTCCGACAATCGACCGTACCATACACACGTTCAGACTTGCCTTTGAGTACGTCAGGCTGGCCGGATGAACGAACATATTTTTGATTTTTTTCCGGCCGCCTGAACAGTCTTAACTGACAGATCAATCGGAATATATACACGTTCAGACGACCGGTCTTCAGTCGGACTGTTCAGTTCGAACTGACAGGCCTGCCGGACCGTCTGTAGCCGGCTTAACTCCATCAGTCTTTCAAAAGTGGCAGGTGCATTGCATAATCCAAACCACAGATTAACCCGTCCTAAAGATAGGAAACTCGTGCCTTTTCCCCTATCCTTGTCTTACTCATACAACGAGTTGTATGACTGCCACAGCATGGGGGCGCTAGTGTGCACTTCAGTGTGTTCAGTGTTGTAGCAGTAGTCACGTGGTCTCCCGCCTTTTTTCAAATAATTTGTCCCTAATCGATTTTATTTTATTATTATCTGTATTTTTTTTTTTTTTGAAATAAAACAACAAACTTTTAGTACCATCTCTTTCTTTATTAGAGCAGCCTTAAACACTTAATAGAAAAACGTATTGAAAAAAAAAACAATGAAAAGTTTATAATACTGCAAATAAAATTCACTAATTCCCACACTTAGCAAAGTCTCTGAGGATAAAGTGGTGATGGCATAACTTCAGAAGCTTCCACTGCAGTAATACCTTATAAATGATGGCATATTTTTAGGAATTTTGGTCTTATTTGATGCAACAAATCACACTTCATGTGAATGTCAAACAATGGCGAATAAAAAGCATCACTAATCTCATTTCCACGAGCATTTCCACTATGTTTGAATGTAACATAAAGTCTCTTTTTTTAAAAACATATTAACAAGTCAAAGTTTTATCAAAAATTGATAGGAAATTAAATAAAAGAACACTAACACAGATCAAACGGCTAACTGATGACAAACACATTGACAAATTATATTTACCATTCACAGTTCACAGATGACATTTGCTTGTGGCTTTGTATACTAGCGCCGCATAGCTTTGGCAGTCATGAAGCTCCACACGTGTTATTTTCGAGACAGTTCCGAACGACCATTTTACATGGAAGTTTCCTATCTTTAGGACGGGTTAATCTGTGATCCAAACGGGATGACGTTAAATTGATATAGGCCGTTTCCTGCAGTAAATGCGGTCTTATCTTCATCCTCTTTATTGAGTTCCACCTGCCAATATCCACTTTTCAAGTCCAGGGTTGAAAACCACTTGGATCCTGATAGGGTGTTAAGGGTATCGTCAATCCGGGGTAATGGATAGCTGTCTTCCTTCGTAACGTCATTCAACCTTCTATAATCCACACAAAACCTGGTAGAACCATCCTTTTTCGTAACTAGTACGACCGGCGATGACCATGGACTATTAGATTCTATGATGTTGTCCTTCAGCATTTCCTTAAGCATAGTGTTAACTTGCTGTTGCTTTGCAAAAGGGAGTCTTCGTGGTGGTTGGCGAATGGGTGTAACACTTCCTGTGTTGATGCGATGATCTACCAAATTAGTTCGTCCAGTAACTTTATCTTGCACAAAAACACCAGCCTCTTTCTGCACAAAGTCAATAGCTTTCTTCTTTTCTTGCTGGCCTAAGTGATTCCAGCTCTTTTCAAACTTCTGCAGAATCTCTATTGATAAATGTGCTTCATTTGACACAGGCTCCCTTCTTTGCGCATCTGACTACTCGTATAGCTGGTGTACATCTGCCAATGACGTCTCCTTTCTTCAATGTCACACGGTTTGTTGTTAGATTGGCCACTCTCACTGGAAACACATTGTTGGAATTCACTAAGTAATATGCCACAAGTGTTCCATTCTGCATGTTTCCTGATTGGTTCCACCGATCATGGTGTTCACGCCTTCTAGCTGTTTTTCTAGGTGTGCCCGCACATTCGACTTACTATTTCCAGGAATTCGTGTATCTTTTGACATTTGACAGTCCTTATTTGACGGAGATGAGAAGAGTATCTACCTATTTCTTCGTTGCCCACTCTCAACATTTTGTTTTTAAAGTCCACTGATAGGAAATCAAAGGTTTATAGGACATCCACTCCCAATATAAATT